TAGAACAACAGCTCCGCCACCGTGTACTACCGTTCGTGTCCAGCCGCGTCTCGTAACGATGATATATGCGCATTCGTTACGGCGGATCAGCGCTTGACTCTTCGATGCCATTGTAGAGATCTGGTGGAGGCGGACGTGAGAAGGCGACGGCGAGGGCGGCGAAGAAGATTACGACGACGTCGAAGGAGAAGGTGGCGGAAAATGGAGCAGCGTACGGGGCAGGGCAGATGTTACTGACGTTACTGAGCAAGCACAAATACGACCGCGACGACGATAACGATCACGACGAAGACGAAGACGAGGGTAACGAGGGAGTCGAAGAGTAGTAGTAGCAGCAGGAGAAGAAGGCGGAAGAGGTGAAACGAGGAAAAAACGAACGACAGTGCCTGCGCGGTAACTGCAAGAGATGCAGCAACAACCGCACTCCGGCCAACAACCTGGGTCCGGGGCGCCGAATGGGGTGGCGGGGGGTGCCCAATTGCCACAAACAGGTGGCATAAGTCCGGCGCAACCTGGCGCGACCGGCACCGCCGCTAATCGCGCGCAAGTTAACGGGGGTAGATTCGACTTCGACGACGGTGGGACCTACTGCGGCGGCTGGGAAGACGGAAAGGCCCATGGCCACGGCGTGTGCACCGGGCCCAAGGGCCAGGGCGCCTATTCTGGCAGCTGGCACTTCGGCTTCGAAGTATCCGGCGTCTACACCTGGCCTAGGTGAGCGACTATCGTATTGATACCGACTACTCGTTAGTCTGAACGTTAAGCGCTCCGTTAGGACAAGTTGCTATACTTTACGATACTTTATGTCTCATTGGCCCTTGACATATTTCACGATGCGCATTTGTTAACTATGCAGTTTACACGGCACACACAAAATTACGGAGGATTACGATAAATTGCTAATTCCCGTGGTACACGTAATCCACGATGCTCGTACGGTTGCGCGCGTTTCGTAGAGCGAATTAATCTTATGTTCTCTTCGCGTTCTCGCCGCACTCTCGGGATTTTCACGAAACGAAAACCGCCACATGCTCCGACCTCATGAAGGATTAACGCTGAGCTCGTTTGCACTGTGACGAGTGTACGGTTTTCCGGCTGATTATCCGGTATTACATTACCGCCGCTGCGCCTGTTTCACGTTAATAATGTCGCTTAGCGGGGCAAACGACTTACCAAACGACGTTACACGCCGCGAAAGTAAGATCCGACCAGACGCTATTTGCGAGGCTCGGATTCGGTAGTTGTAGAAAACTCTTCGGTAAATCAGCTTTTCCGTGAATCCATATTGGATGTTTCATTGATGATTTTCGCGAATCCCCCGAATTGAATTCACGAGATTCCTGGCGCCGCGTGATGCACAAACAGCGGACCTTGACACGTATCTCGGTGTATACCTGGGTGGGAATCTCCCGATTCCTGTAAAACTGGGTCACCATGCGCAAGGACAACCGGAGCGGGTCACCGGGATTCGAGTCGTTAGGACCTAGTTCAGGGTCGTCGTGGAAAATCGCCGTTAAAATTTTCGCGACGCGGGTGATGTGATCGATATCCGCATCCGTGCGCGTTGAAGACAAAAGTCTTTTTCAATTTTTTTTGGAGCTATTGATCAATTTATCAACAAATACGTGAAAGTTATTCAGTAAAACGTTTCGTTTCCCCCAATAGAGTGTACAATCCTGGTTTCGGTAAAAGAATGCGAGATATAAATCAGCGCTCAGATTCTTCGAATCCCATTAAAATGCAACGTCGGAAATCGTTAAACGTTTCTCGCGAATGACGACGTCATCATTGAGAAATATTTTAGGTCGTTTTCGTCCATAAAATTGAACAAAAAATGACAGGACTGGTATTCTTAATCTGTCGATTGGATCCCGCTTTTGGATTTCTCTGCTCGAAATTAATTGAAAAATAAAATTATTAACTATTTACATACGAACTCCGATTTATAAACACTCTATAAAATGAGGTAATAATTGCGGAGCCATCTTGTTTGTTTCTCGACGATTAGTTTTATGAGAGAATGCATAACGAGAATACATAAACGAGGTGTAGGACAATTAGGAAAAAATTATATAGTATCTACATACGTGCACGCGATACGAAAACTCGGAAAGACTTTAACGATCGTAATTACGGTTTCTAGATCACGCACACAATGGAAATATTATTAGGTAAGAAGATATTATTAAATAATAGAGATGTAATAACAGTAAAATGCTGTGTAACGATTTCATTTATATTTGCAAAGGGCTATTAAATTGTGCTCGAGATTAAATGTGAACGTTTTAAATATACATGCATACTTAAGATATATTATTTAATATATATATATTGTTATACAGTATTATTATACAGTATTATTAACGATATTTTAACTCGTTGTTGCGTTACGTTGTGATTTTTTCAAAATCGTTTTCGGAAACTGAGATCTGCTTGAATGTAAATTCATTTCTTATTGATTTCTGGAATAATTAACGTAAAAAAGAGAGAAAGTGGGATAGAGACGAAAAACGATGACATCCTCTTTTCTTGCCGATCACGTATCTAGGCTGAGAGAATTCGCCGTTTCATTTCCGCGTAAACTGGAGCAAGGTCCATCTTTAACTAGCAACATTTTCCGACGACTTCATTCTCGATCATGATGATACTCGAAGTTGAATCGTTTCGTAGTTCGAGCACGTGTTGCTGACCACTACCGTTCGGGGGATAGTTCATCCCATGTATCTAGAATTTCACTCACTATCTACTTCACTATTTACTTCCGTCGTTCGCGACAAGTAAAGAACGTGCATTGTTGAGAGACCGCCTTTATCACAATTATTTATTGCACATTCAGTTGTTAATTATATCAAAATATTTTAAGAGGTGAAACGTCCTTTTTATACATTCTCAAATGTTCTAAAAATATAATGCAAACATTATTTACAATTATAGAATATCTACAAATTATTATTGCATTGTCAGAATTTATAATGTAATTAATCGTACCGCGGTAGAAAGATATAAATTTTTATCACACGGCGGAGCGTCGTTAAATACAAGTATTTACGCAATGCGCGACACTTATAGAACATTTCCGCAACAGTTTTCGCATCCACGTGCAGCTTCCATGTTTATGTAATCATTATTCGCAAGGACTTGGATATCGCTCGGGTAGGATTAATCATTCTCTCTTTCAAGAGATTTACTATAGATGTTCTTGAAACGTTCTTGTCGTTTTGCAAAAACTGTGACGATTAAAAGGGAATAATTAAATTATATTTGATGCTGGATTTAGGAAGATTTTCTACGATAAAAAGTAATAACAGAAATAAGTTTAGCGCAAAGGCTTTAATCGCACTTGAAAGAACGTCCGCTCGATTAGTTCTCTCTCCGTCTCCCTTCTTCGATAATTATAACTTTCATAAAAATATCTTAAAAGAAGGATCGTAGGCGGCGTAATCACTTTCTACATTAGCACGAGGTGTCATGCCTCTCATTGCCACTCCATTCTGTATACCCGACAACATGTGGATGCAACGTTGTCATCGTCATCGACGACAGTCGGTAATTATTGGATTGGTTAATTGAACGAGTTTTCAGCTAACGTGAATGGCTAATGATAGCGTAAATAGCGACGTGATCCTTGAAGCGTAAGCGTCTTAAGGATATTTTTACGTGCGGACAACAGCTGAGAGCCGCGGAAGAAATTATCTCTACAATTTCAAAATACTTTTTAAGCCCCACGTGAAGGAGGAGAAGTTGCTTTAGAAGATTAAATTCCGCAAATTGCATTTGCAGCGGGTCAGCCTACGAAGGACAATGGCAGAACGGCAAGAGACACGGCTTGGGTATGGAGACCCGTGGCCGTTGGCTCTACCGGGGAGAATGGACTCAGGGATTCAAGGGTCGTTACGGGGTGCGGCAGTCTACTACCTCCACTGCGAGATACGAGGGCACGTGGTCCAGCGGTCTGCAGGACGGTTACGGTTCCGAGACTTACGCCGACAGCGGTAAGCCCTAAGTCTAAATCTATCAAGACACCCGTTTGATCAACCTGACTTTTTCCCCATAAATCGGAATGTAGGACGTTTCTGAAAGTCTTATGAATGAAACGAACAAACTGTGAGCTCTCTCTTTCACCTTGAAGTTAAAAACGTATTTTTTATATGTCCATATATAAAAAATTATTTCTAAATACAACTGGGAAAAACGTTTTGGATTTATAATTTTTCGATTCGTTAATATTTTTCTGCTTCTAAAATAAATGGGATACGTTTTCAAAATTGAAATAATTTCCAGAAGTGTACTGACTGATAAAAAAAAAAATCTTTCCAACACGGTTTGCTTGTATCGATTTTTAATAACGGTTAATACCGTTAATGTGCGTAAGTACCGATATATTTGTATTCGGTTGTGCAATCGCACAAAGTTCGATTTCGCATTAAAATGTTAATAAATGGGCGATTTCATTCACGAATGAAATATTTTATTGGACGTTGAATACGCGTTGGAAATCCTTCTAGCATGCTCCAGAGAGCTGGCCTATGAAGCAAGACATCGTCAGTAAATAAATCATTGAGTTCTTTTAATAAAGCTCCGCGAGGCTGACTTGGGAACGCGGTAAATAAACAAAACAAGAAACGGATGTGGCAGAACGCGTCGTCGATTTCGCATTATTCTCGGCGAGATATTTAGTTGCGCCAAGATTGATGGCCGCAATTGCGGTATGTCTACAAAAATTGATGCAGTATTTAGAAAGCGGTCTTCTTCTTCGTCTTTCGAATTCCTCTACTTACAAAGGTGTCATTGTCGAGCGGAGTATTATAATGTGGGGTTTTATTTGTAAAACGCTACATTATATAAAATCGATTCGCATCTAAGGAATCATTTTTCTACGGTGAACCAATCAATCCTGACATGATATTTCATTTCTTTCTATTGTCGCAAATAGTGAGAAATATAATCGCAATGGATAATACCGTTAGATCAATATCGATTGCGAAAGGAATTTTTTTCGAGAAGAATCAGAATTGATGATACTGCTATACGGCGATTGCAATTTTCATGAAAATCGCTGCAACCTTCGATAGAGTCTTACTTCTTCTAATCCTTATTACGACCTATTTACTAGCTTCTTTTTTTCTTCCTGGGGAGATTTCCCTCTTGCACGATGCAGCTTGCATCTCATTCTTGGATTTCACCCGCTATTGCAAGGAACATCGCAAAATTCAATACATCTTAAATGTCATTAACCAACTCAGTCATAATTTCTCCGCTGTTGAAATCTAATTTGTCAAATTCATTTAACTTGTCGCGAAATATCGTTAGGGGCAATTTTCTGCAGTCGCTTCAGTTACGAATAAACGATACGCCATTAAACGGAGTCGCACTCCGATGTGAGGAAGTAGGACTATTGTTCAACCGATCGATCATAGCTGGTGAAACATTATAAAGTATTCATGTGCTATCTACCACAAGAGATCGCAGCGTCGCACATTCGCGTAACATAAAATATTACCGCATATTAATTAAACGTGATATTGTGTTCTCAGACCTGCCGTTTTTCTCGTGAGATTAAACTTAGTCTCGTTACGGTCGCGGCAGATGCTGCGTCTCAGGTCATGTTGTGAAAAGATTGCGAGTAAACCAAATGGAAAATCTTATCCAGTAACGCTTTGCACAGAGTTTCGCCATTATTCGTCTTATGGCAACAAAATACTTCAAAACTCGCACGTAAACTTGAAGACGATTCTCGCGATTCTTTTATATTTTTGGAAGAGACGATCGAGGCTTCAGTAAAATAGCGAATAAAAATATTTAATTAATTTTGATAACAAGAGGAAGACACAGTGGACTCTTTATAGATTTTAATCTTTTTCGGTACACTGGAAAAAAAATCTGATTATATAGTCACCAACCGAGTTAAATATTTCAACCAAATGTTCCGGTAATATAACTAAACATAATTTTAACTTTACTATATAAATATTTAGTAAGTATAATATTTAATAAGTATTACCGTTGGTAATAGCGTTTGGTAATATTTATCAGTGACCCGGACCAAAATCGGAATCGAAAACTGTTTTAGAACCCTTTTTTTTTTAGTGAATTGAAACCGAAACCGTACTCAAATTTTATAAAGTTTATAATACCGAAACCGTAACTGGTAAAATTTTATTTTTTGGGTTTTTTTCGGTTCTTTTTTCAGTTCTTAATTTTTAATCTTTATCCTTGTTCTTTCTTTGTTCTGCCCGTTCTTTCCAAATCACCAACGTTCAATCCAGTACTATCGCCAGCTCTCTTAACAACCGGAATGTAAATACCTTCAGTACCTCATATGATATAACAAATCTGGCGGAATCGCGAGATATATTTAATGTAATTTTTTTTAAGATACTAGCATTTCTTTTATTTAGATCTTCCTCATCACAACATGTTGCAAGAATTTATTCTAAGTTCTGAAATTCAAAAATACATATGTAGACTTTAAGTGAGATCTATTCATAAGAGCCAAATAAGTTGTAAGAAAGGATTGAGAGAAATATGTTTAAAATAATGTTTACGTCATTTTTTTATTCAGAGTCATGTGATCAGTTGACGACTAGGCTCTCTAGATTGAACGAATGAATACGCTCTCTCTCTCTCTTCTCTTTCTCTCTTTCTTCTTCTTTTCTCTCTCCTTCTTTTTAATAGAATAAATTTAAAGAATAAATAAAATAAATAAATAAATCAATAAATAAAATAAAGCGAGTAAATAGAACTGAAAAAACCGTTAAAAAACCGAAATTTTTACGGTTTCGATTTTCTTTACTGTAAAAAAAGTACCGAAACATTTGCTTGATTTTATTAAACCGGAACCGGAACCGAATTGAAAAAACCTTTCGGTCCGGATCCGATATTTACTAAATATTTGTAACGATAAAATTATGTTTAGTTACATTACCTGAACATTTTGTTAAAATTATTTCACTCAATATTTGATAGTTATAACCAGACTCTTTTTTTTTTGGTGTATGATAAATCTATAGTATATCGAAAATAAATGTCGTGTTCGAGCATTTTGTCGAACAGGTCTTATATTTTTTTTATGAAAGAACCTCGCACTAATTATATGGAAAATTGGATCTCAAATGAAATGAGTTAGTTTTCACGTGTAACATAGTTTGTAATATGACTAATAATTTATAATATGACACAAGCCTTAATAATGTATAATTTTTAAGCTAAGCGTCGACAGTGCTTTATGCATGAGCACAAATTTTATACCTTTCGTATATGTACTATAGCTTAAAAATTATTCATTATTATTATCTTTTGTTCGCCACATTATAAGTTACATTATATGTGAAAACTAATTCATTTCGTTAGGATCCAATTTTCTATAATTACTGCGGGATCCTTTCATTAAAAAATACTACTTACAAAGTAAATTCAATAAAACGCTGGGACATGACACAATTTATTTTCGATGTACATATTATACGTTTATTATGCTGAAAGATATCAAACTCTGTGAAAGGTTCACTGTGTCCTCTTCTTGCAAGTAAAATAAATGCAAAGACTTGCGCACTATAAAAAATAACAGTGTGAACTTAACACCCATGCGATGCCTATATAATTTTCACCGTGTTGGTGTTAAATTAACACCAGCATAGTGTGGATTTAACGCCACGGATTTTTAAATCTACACATCCATAATGTTAAATCCACACCATATTAGTGTTGATATAAATACCAAAGTTTTAAATCCCCATGTTGGTATTAATTAAAAAATTGTATTGACACCGCATGGATGTTAAATCCACACCAAGTTAAATTGACATCGACATTTTTAAAGTGCACGTTTCGCAGCGTAATATATATATCTTTGCCTGATGAGAGTTTGTTCCGTAAGTAGTGCTATCGCAGCATCACAATTGATCACCAAATCTGATCACCGAAATCTTTCCCGTGAGGCATCGGAATTCAGAAACTGGAAATGCTCTGACACGGCCACGTCACGTCGAACATGCGTGCGTATATTATGCGCGTACGAAAATAGCACGTCCAATCGCTCGACGCGAATCACTCGACTCGATATTTATCAAGCACTACAGGTTACCCAATCGGATTTAATGCTTTACAGTTTAAATGTATCTTTAATGAGTCACTATAAATCTTTCTCGCCTCTTCCTCTAAGACCACCGTCGATTTAACCCTTTTATTTGTCTCACATAAAAATACATCTCCAGATACATCTGTCTTCCAGAACAATACGTGCCCCTTATTATTCATTATAATTTTCTGAAGATGGATCAGCCTAGCCCATCTGAAAAAGTCTGCGGCATGATCGTTCAGAGGTCTATATAAAGCGCCGAGAAACATCGGACAGAATGAAATACGATAAAACTCTTATCCGCCACTACCGGCCACGCTCACTCTTTCTCATTCTCTTTCGAATGTTCTCCGTCTCTTCTCGCCTTTTGCAACGAAGATAAGTGAAGTGCTGGGCGCTATTTCGACGCGAAATCGAACCGGCACGGCGGAGGAGTCTCCTATCATGAATGGACCGGATGTCGAAACGTTTATCGCAAACGAACGCAGTTTATGTACACCGTACTGAAATGTGCATCATGCTTGGCCGACAAACGTTCCGAAAAAGAGTAAAAATAATTGCGAACAGATTTAATAAATTAAATTAATTTATAAAATAAAATTAATTTAATTTTTTTAATACAGATAATAATTAATTAAATTACTTTACAAAATAAAAATAATTTAATTTTTTTAATGCAGTCTCTTTGGAAGGAAAAAGTAAACACCTTTTTATCAAATAATTCATGTTAATTTATCCTATCCTGTGGAGAAAATTAAAATGGTTCAGTATTATTTCAGATTAATCTTTTGAAAGAATACCATCAAATTACGTCAATTAACCCTATAGGGGACGAATCGTTTTTTATATCCAAATTCTCTAATGTAATACGACTAATTTATTGTCAAGCACATTAATTCCATTAGGTTTACTTTA